GAATCGATTGGTCGAGATCTGTCTGCGGGGCGGTCAATGGGTCAATAGCCTTGGCCTTCATCTGAAATAAAGAAGGTAACGTTACCACTTCAGCACGAGTAAGAGCGACTCACACTCCTACTGGCCCGAGGTGTTTCCCTGTGAAGTGCTTGCAAAAGCACCACCAAAGTTTGAAAAATATGACGTCACTATTGAGGACGTGACCTTCGTGGCGACCCGTTTACTCGTGCACTTAGCCATGGTGTGACCATACTGGCCACATTTCAAGCAAGCGCCTTGTGCAACACGGTCTCTCCACACCTCGTACTCTAGACCAAGCTTTACCATGTGGGTGTTCCTTGGTCGTATTGACCCTTGGGCCGGTCTGCCTTCTGTTTTCTGGCCCCCTTAGCTTTTCCCTGACAGGAGCGACCACTCCACCGTCTGAAGTGTCTCCACTCCCATCCAACTTTGTTACGTCCCAAGGTCAGAGAAGTCATCAATCTCGGTTGCTTGACCGTTATGCTCAACAAACATGAGGTTGCCCTTCTTCTTCCAATCTTGAGGGAGCTCCTTCTTTCTCCCATCTACCGGTCCCTGTTGGGCACTCCCAAGCCTAGCCTCACTGTCTAAGGACTTCTTGCTAAAATAAGCAAGGTCATATACATCGATGGAGGCCTCATCGACCAACTTATTTGTAACATCTGTGGGCAGACATCGTAAATAAGTTGTCAAGAGGACTTGTGGTTCGTACCGCACACCAGGGACCACGATCAGTCGCTCTATGGCGTTTGTTACCTCACGAAGCGTTCGGTATCTTTTCAATCGCAGATTAGCCAGCGAGTCGGTGATCTTCTGAGCCCCTTGGGGGTCATGCCACCTGCTGTAGACTAACGGTATGAACTCCTCCAATGATATGGTTTGTGCCCAACGATCGAAGTTTTGACCGTAACCCTACTGCTGCACTAACCCATTCAACGACCTGGTTGCAGATCCTTCTAGAAAGGACGCAGTGACAATGACTTCCTCCTCTGTCCTAGTGAGTTTGTGCCTCACATAAGTTGGCACAGTTCTCACCCAGGTATCCAAATCCTCTGCCTTCTTTTTGTCGCTAGAGAAGGGTTTAGGACTCAACAAGGGTATCGTGGGTGTCCACTGCATGGGTGGTACAACTCCTTGTGCCTGCTGCATTGGTTGTGAAACCGGTGGGACAGGTCGTTGCGGCGGCAATTGCTATTGTTGCTGCTGCTGCGGACCCTGTTGCAAAGGTTGTTGCACTTGTGACTGCCCTCTAGCGGTAACCACCGGCTGGGGAAATGAAGAAGGCTATACAGGAACCTGCCCACTACTACTTGCTACTAGACCGCCTGATAGGGGCATGCCAAACTGAGGAGAAAAGGGTTGGCCTATCGATTGCGGCATCACAGTGGGACCTGCAACCGTAGGGGGAGCTACAACATACTGTGGCTGCCTGATCTGAGGTCATATCGCCCGCAGTGCAACCAAAATCTGATTCTAACCAGCTATCAGTGCAGCCAGCATCTCTTGCTGCACAACTTGTACTTCGACAACACTCAAAAGGGAGTTTCGAAGGGATCGCGTTACAAGATAGAGAGCTGACTCATCTATAGCTTCTAAATTGACTAACTCCTCTCCCCTTGCCTCTAGTCTGACTTTTCTAAGTCTTGCTCTTTCTCTCCTACCTTGTACCTCCTGCAACTGGTGCCGTAACTCTGTGCGGAGGGCATCGGCCTGTGGAATCTCATAATCCTCCTCTTACATGGGTTGCTGTTGGCTAACCTTCAAGTCAACAGACTAACTAACGAAAACTTGAGAGACACCCTGATTGACACCTGACGAAGAGGCCTGAGATGAGGTCTGTGACATGGTAGAGGCGGTAGCCATGGCTGCCTCAGCGTTGGCACTAACGTCTGCTGCTAATGTTGTTGCTAGTGCCCTTTCGGCGTTGGCTGCTGCTTCCCTAGGCCTCTGCAATGTCGTCCTCTCTTTGGCTTCTCTCCGCAGTCTCCTTTCCTCTCCGTCTTCTAACACAAGGAAAGTGGTCGGCCGACTGAGTGCACATCTCCAGGTAAGCCTCCTATCGTTTTGGTCTAGTCCTTCAACCTCACTGTTATCTAAACTCACGAGCTATGCATGGCCTACGACCTGCACTAGTATCCTCATTGGGACCTACCGCAGCATGACAACCAACCGATTAAAATAACATAAAATAAATATTCGGTCCAGCTTTGTCAGCAAGTAGTCAAGCGATAACATCAGATGATCTCAGATTTCTACAAACAACTCTATTTCTACTTTTGACTAGTCTAAGACAGATTGCGATGCAGCAAGGAATATATACTACCTATCTGCAGTTGTCCGTCGGTTGTTAGCAGTGTCTGTCACAACTCACTAATCAATAAAAAAAATAAAATCATTTGTCGGGTTTGCAAGCAGAATGAATATTTAAATAATAAATAATCAAACAGTTCATTGGTATCCTCCTACCCCCTTTTATCCCTCTTGAGTAGTCACCTTATGTCGACGTCCTGAAGCTCTGATTTAGCGGTGTGTCTGAAGGCGTGCAATTGCCCACCGCTGTGTCCAAGAACTCGCTCATGACCAGTCCTGGCCGTTCGTCACCCTCGCGTGCAACGAGCCTTACATCCGATTGATCTGGCTGATCAAGAGGCAGTTTAAGGACAGCCCCCAAGGTCCTTAGGAGTAATTTAACGTCGGAGACAGGACGACGATCACAGCCAGGATTCAACTCGAATCCGCCAAAAATATTTATAGACAGTCTGGTATGCGTCTCATGTAGGACTGGTCAGTCCATGTTCCCTCTATAGCGCAGCAAGCAGTACCAAGGACAAGCAACATAGCATGCATGTACTAATCCCAGCGGGCTGGCATGGTGACCATGACCCGAGTGCTTCGTCCAGGGCCCTTCAGAGGCAACAACCGTCTCCCACCAGCTTGCTTCCAGAAAGAATGTCGACTGTCAAGGTTGAGCGCTCACGACACCTCACAATGAGAGGACTCTCAACACATAACTCACTTCCTCACGGTAAGAAGTAATGAGGAGGGTAGATAAGGTAAGGAGCAATGTACCTCATAATGCTGCCCCCAACCACAGATTTCTCACCAATAACCTGACGTGCATTTATGATGACCGGTCGACGACTTGGCACAACCCACAATGCAATGCAGTTCCTCCTCGGCTTAAATTACCACGTCAGCAAGCTCTCATCATCCAACATGCACCCCTATGACGCCACATAGCCTTCCCGGCACGCCCACACGACCCTGGGCAGCCACTCGCCAACGCACAAGCGTTATCACTGCCCCACCATTTACCAGCGAAGCACCAAACAGCTATTGCAAAGGCCGCCAGCAGAGCGGCTCGAACCAGCTCTGATACCAAATTGCAAGGAAAATGAGCAATAGTGAAATGACAGATTCCAGATTGCAAAATCACATTGAAAGCCAGGAGGTCTGACACTGTCCAGAAAGCAGAATTGCATTGATATTACACCAATGGAGAACCAAAACACTGAGTCCGATTGTCAATGAGAGCATACTCTCACCATCACCAACATATGTATCCAGAGCCCTTCTCCTACTTGGCGCTCAGCACCCAGTCTACTATCACGCAGCTACTACCGGCATACAAATTGACAATGCAACTGTTGACGTCAGCAGCAGAACCGAAGTACATGAAGATGTCGAGCCTTGTAGACTATCACCAAGACCAGGTACGTGCCCTTACATTATCATCCTTCTCTCTCTCTCTCTCTCTCTCTCTCTCTCTCTCTCTCTCTCTCTCTCTCTCTCTCTCTCTCTCTCTCNCTCTCTCTCTCTCTCTCTCTCTCTCTCTCTCTCTCTCTCTCTCTCTCTCTCTCTCTCTCTCTCTCTCCCCCCCTCGTCAAGACTACCCACGTCTCCTTCCCATACACGAAGACCACCACCACTTCTGTTGACCCTCTCCAAGGCCAGCCCGGCTATGGCTGGCTATGGCGCTGCCCACAGCAGCGCCCTGCTTCTGCACGACAGCATGCGCACACGCTTACTCACCATACACTAGTGCAGCAGCCTGCAAGCGCTAGCTCCAGCAGGACTGCCGCATCAGCATGTAAGTGGCCAAATGCCCTCGCACCCGGCCCTTTCCTATATGGAAAGTGGGGGGCGCTTTGCCTTGCCAGTACCACGTGAGACGGATTAAAAAAAGCGGCAAGGATCCCTAAAAAAGAAAGAAAGACTTCAGGCCAGGACTGTGCTTGGCCTAAGCAGTCAGAATCCGGTCTTAACTTTGATTTTGGTAATGGGTCATCCAGGGGCGGTGGGGGGTGTAAACAGTGACAAAAGGGGTTTAAAAGGGTACATTTCGACTCACAGTGTCTCATTGATTTTTTATCTTAAAATTAACAAGGAATTTCGAGGTGGCCCTCAGCCAAACGTTGTTTGTATTGCAGTTTTGCACAAAATATTTTTTTTCCGGATGTTTTTGAACTCTTTTCATTAAACTTATTTTCTATTTTGTTAATATCATGCGCTGGGACCACCCCCGACCCGGCCACGACGCCCCGGAGGGTACCCGGGCGAGCTTACCCCAGCCGGGCCACCCGGGGACCAGCACAGGGCCACTAAACATATGATACCCGACCCGAGGAAACCCTTTCCACATAAGCACATGATTCACCTCTCTAAAATAATCCTTGCACAGAGATCGACTATATGTCTAGCCCATGCTCCTAGACTTTCTGGATGCCCCATTGAGCACCCTTGTGTTGCTCGATTCTACTCCCAAAGTGGAAGCCCACAGCACAATATTTTGGCTTTGCTCAGCTGGAGAACCTGGCCTTCAGAGTCTGTTGCTACCATGCATCTCTCTGTCGACGGGATGTTGTTGTGTCAATCTGTATCGGGGGAGATTGATTGGAATTGAAAGTAAATGAAACAAATGGACGGCATGAGACACTTCGCACTTATTGCATTTCTTTGAATGTCAATGTGATTCACAGGTCCCGAACATGTGCTCGGAGCTGGTTAAGCCTTCTGAGAGAATGCCATGCTGGTATGTAACACTTTTGCCTCTTGCTTTTGGGAGAAGACTCAGCATTCATGTTCATCATGGAAGTTTGGTGACTAAAAAGGAAGATATGAAATATATTCCTTTTTTTTGCTTTTTTATTGAAAGAATCACGCAGGCCCCTTCTATTCTGGGGGTCAACAGTCCGGTTACGTATCCCCGGTGCAAGGAAAATGAGAAATAGTGAAATGACAGATTCCAGATTGCAAAATCACATTGAAAGCCAGAAAGTCCGACTGTCCAGAAAGCAGAATTGCACGGATATTACACCAACGGAGAACCAAAGCACCGAACCCGAATGTCAGTGTCGCCACCACAAACATATGAATCCAGAGCCTTTCCTCCTACTTGGCGCTCAGCGCCCAGACTACAATCACACAGCTCCTTCCAGCCTACGAATTGACAATGCAACTGTTCACGTCAGCAGCAGAACTGAAGTACATGAAGATGTCGACCCTTGTAGACTATCGCCCAGACCAGGTACGTGCCCTCACATCATCATCCTCATCTCTCTCTCTCTCTCTCACCCTCGTCTTCTCTTCCCACACCTTCCTCCTCATCCACGAAGACCACCACCTCTGCTGACTTTATCCAAGCCCAGCCCGGATATGGCTGGCTATGGCGCTGCCCACAGCAGCGCCCTGCTTCTGCACGACCGCACGCGCGCACACATACTCACCATACACTTGTGCAGCAGCCTTCGAGCGCTGCTGCAACAGCATAGAAGTGCCCGAATGCCCCATCCGGCGCCCAGCCCTTTCCTATATGGAAAGTGGTGGGCGCTTTGCCTTGTCACGCTCCATGAGACCGAGTTCCCCAGTAGCTTCAGTCTCGGCCAAAGTGTCCACCCCCAGGCCCTGGGACCGAACCGGTTAGGCATGCCCAACCACCCAGGCGCAAGCGGGCGATACTCCCTGCTCCCACCACGTTGCTGGAAGAGCCTGGAAGGCTCACAAATATTCTGGATTCTGACGAGCAGGGTGGATGTAACCAACTGGCGCGTGGCAACTGTCTGGCGCCGACCAAGATTTGCAAAAAAATTGACGAGTTCAGAGGCCCGCCTTCACTTGGTCGGGCACGTGCCTGATGCAGGGCCTTATGCGGTTATGCAGAGGGATCAAACCCTTGCACTCCCTCCTCCTTTACTTCGATAGTCCTATGAGAAGTCGTTACACAGCAGGCTGCTTCCCTTTCAAATTTTGTTCATAACTTGTGACGACTTGGGGAGCAGTCTTCATCAATTCCTCTCTGGTGAACCACCGATCTTCTGTAGGATCCGTATGATGTCTGAAACGTACTCGATACTGCATTTGTGGTATCGGACGGCGTCCCCTGCCTGGAGGCTTGGGTGCCGGCATTAGCTTGTGTTCAACGATGTCGTCAATGTCCGCATGCCCGTTCGTGGTTGGGGGCAGCATCGATCTCCTGGAGGGAAACTGATCAGTTAGAGCGAAAGGTGCCAACTTGGATGCATGGAAGACAAGGTGAGTATGTAGGTGACCAGGTATGCGAATGACATACGAAGGTCCATCTTGATCTCCCACTACATGTAAGACCTCCCATGGTTCAAAGTACCGTGGCATCAGTTTGCATGAAATCCCCAACTCTTGCCCCTGCTCAGATGATCTTACCCAGACTCATAGGGCCCCTCGTGTCTGTTCTCAGATGCAACCATGGCATCTTGAGCTCTCTTGATGTGCTCTACTGCCTGCTGGAGCATCTGTTCGTATTTGACAGCGAACTCTATGCTGCCAGGTGCTGCAGTTGGCTGGTTTTCAGGCAACAGGAAGTCGAGTGCGGATCTGGGCTTCCAACCAAGATGCAGTTGGTTGGGAGTCATGCCGGTAGTGCTGTGTACAACGTTATTGTACAGGCTGGCGACGAGGAGTAATTTCTCGTCCCAGTCATCCTGACTTGGTTTAATGTAATGCCAAAGCAAATGCTGCACTACCTGGTTCATCTGCTCGGCCTGACCATTTGACTCAGGGTGGTTCCCTAACGTCATTTGCAGTCAGGTACCCATCTGTTGGGCTGTACTTTGCCACAGAGAGAGAGAGAGAGACGAGGGGGAGGACGAAGAGGAAGAAGAAGGGGCCGTCCTCCTTGCTGTCTCACCTGTAGGTAGCTGCCCCTGAACTGACTGTTGTGGTCGCCCTGTGCAGGTACTGCGCGGAGCCCCAGCTATGGTGCCAGGTAAGTTTGCCGCTACAAGTAGGCCTCCGCCTCTCTCCCTACCTCCTGCAGCTCTACTCCCTAGCTTCGCAGTGCTGGGCCAGAATAGCGCAGCCTCCAACCAGCAGCGTGTCGCTCCATAAGTGAGCTACCCAAACTGTGTCCTGCCCAGCCGCTGCCCAGCTATATGTAGCGCTGGGCGAGGCTGGACCTACCTGGTGCTGGCCTCAAAACGGCCCAGCCGGTACGGGTCCCCACCGGACGTCCAGACTGTGCTGCTGATGCAGCAAGGCGCAAAACGCGCCTGGCCTCTTTAGGCCCTGCCTCTGGTGTACCCAGTCGGGCACTGCAAGTCCGAAACGACGTCTGCACAGACTGAAATAGGACAGCAGGTAAGTAAATAAATAAATGCCGCATGTATTTGAAATCTGTGGGCTTCCAGGGCGCATGTCTGATGGGCATGCGGCCTGGGGGCCTCAAATGGGGCCCGTGTGCAGGCGCAGCATGTAACACCCCCACCTCCTTATGAAGTCAAGCTGGGGCGAGGGCAAAGCTGACGATCTGAAGTTGGAACCTGGACGCGGGTGCGACGTGGAGCCGAAGATACCGGCTTGCCTAGCAACTTGCGTTCGTAGCATGCGGGAACATACGGAGTTGTTGCTTACAGTTCCGCACGGGTCAGCCAACGGTCAGCTTTATGGGTGCGGTACGCAAAATATACCAAATATTCGGTCGGCCTGTTGCGGTAGCGTAGCTGGGAGATGATGTCGCCAACCTCTTGAAAACCATCCATAGAGGGTGAGTCTTGGGGTTGTCGCCCGGGAAAGTCGGCATGTTCCGCTGGCTTGTAAAGAGCCAACTTGGAGTAGTGAAAGACCGGGTAGACGGGCAAGTGGGAGGGCAAAAGGAAGGTCCTTCGGGTGCATCCCCAGCGGGGGCCACGATCGGCCAGGGCCTGATCCATTTCGGGAGGAGCTTGCAATAGATATTTTGTTCGAGGCTGAATTCCCAGCGGAAACCCACACGAGGTCGTCGGCGCGGAATGGACAACGAAGACACTGGCGATTGGCCTGTTGGCTCATGCATTGCTGCGTCTTTGTCATCTGGTCACGTGCCTTGACAATTAGCTCTTGCATCCGACGCAAGAACAGAAGATGGTTGTCGCTCTCGGCCGCTCGTGGGATGATTGTGTCCAACGGAGAGGTGACCGGTGAGCCGTGCTCGAACTCAAAGGGCGACATCCCTATAGCCGGATGGAATGACGAGTTGTATGCCAACTCGACATCCGGCAGCCGCTCAACCCAGTCCTTTTGGTCGGGACGATGAGAGTGTGAAGGAGAACCTGTGCAGTCTGGTGCGTCCTCTCCGTTTGGCCATCGGTTTGGGGGTGGTGAGCCGAACTCGGCTTGAGAGATGAGCCCCATCATTTGACGAGCGCCAACCAAAAATTGGACATGAACAGAGTGTCTCGGTCGCAAACGATTTCCTTGGGGTAACCCTTGGTTCGAATCCAACCGGCGTAAAGAACCTCGGCCAACTCCAGTGCCTTGGCATGATAGCGGCAAGGCAAAAACATGGCAAACTTGGTGAGTCGGTCGACCACCGTGAGAATCCTATCCACACCGGTTTTGTGCTTGGGGAACGGCCCGGTGACATCCATGGCAATCGCTTCCCTTCGGCGCAAGGGGACCGGTAATGGTTGCAACTTGCCGTATGGACGATGATTGTGGGATTTGCAGCGTCGGCAAACCTCACATGACTCGCAATAGCGTTCGACGTCGCCGAGAAGGACGGGCCACCAAAAGCGCTCGCGAAGTCGGCCAATCGTTCGACTGACTCCAAAGTGTCTGGTGGCAGGAGCGTCGTGGAACTCGTCAAGAAGCCGCGTCCGCAAATGAGAGTCGCTTGGAACGCAAAGAAGATCCTTCCCCCTCGTGTGGACAAGCAAGTATCCCTCTTGGATCCGGTAGTGTGAAGGCTCCGGATTAAGAGAATAGCACTTGTTCAGAAATGGTTTCTTGCGAATAGCAAAAATGGTTCTCAGTCATGGTGCGCACCAGCGCACAGCACAATGTTCTGAAATAGCCCTCAAGTACAGTGCGCATACGGCACACAGTTGCAAACTCGGATATGTCCCTCAGATATGGCCTTCAAGCATGGTCCGAACGGCGCACTGTTCAGATATGGCCCTTCGAGATGGCCCTCAAGCATGGTGCGAACAGCGCACAGCATGGCGCGAACGGCACACTATTCAGATATGGCCCTCAGATATGGCCCTCAAGCATGGTGCGAACAGCGCACAACATGGCGCGAACGGGACACTGTTCAGATATGGCCCTCAGATA